TTAACGGCCAACGCGTGACCCCCTGCAATCCGCTCCCCGGCATTGGAAGAAAGAGTCCATCAGCGTTTTCCTATTTGTACAATATGTCATGATTTCGGCACGACAAAAACGGTAACACAAGCGAAGCGATGGCATTAATGACGAGAGTGACGCTACCCATTTTGTTAGACTTTATATTATATACTTTTCCCTCATCTAGTAATACATTATGAAGCGAGCAAAATAAAAGGGACCGGAGTTCTCTTTTGTGACTGCTTGCTATTATCTCTTTTTTTCTTGAATTATGCCTAAGCTTCCGTACGTAGATGGATGTCCATCAACTGAACGCCGGACACGAACAACCAACCACCCTCTCCTCTGCGTTCGTAGTCGATTGAATTATCCTAACTAGATCGGTGATTCTGAAGGTGGTTGAACGTTGGACACTGGTTGAGTGTTGTTGGCTTAGATTAAATTATGTGCAGCCCCGTATTTAAAGCTTACCTTACCCAGACCGACGCTGCTCAAAGGTTTGGTTAAAATCAAATTAGACATATTGAGAAGTGAACGGAGAACATTAAATTATAGTCATATATATATATATATATATATATATATATATATATATATATAATAAGTACATAAAACAGTACACACTATATTTATTTAAAAGACGTTAGTGGCATATCTACATTTATATATATTTATATCTACTGGTTTTTCTTATTCAACTCATCACACACATATGCATGCGCGCATATATATATATATATATATATATATATATATATATATATATATATATATATATATATATAATTCAGATAATAGATCCTTTGCTATATAATTCAGGTGGATCCTAGTAATATCAGATATTAAAACTGATCCACAGAGAGAGCTCTATATATTTATTATAACAGACCATATATTATACAGCAAAAAATCACAAATTACCTTATGTGGGTATAGTCTATTTCAAACCGGCACAATCTTATACCATACTTCTTCAGCCCTAGACTGACTGTCTCGGAATCAGGGGTTTTGAATTTAGTTTAGATAGCAGTCGGAGAACCCTCCTTTAGATAAGGTGCCTGGGTTGGTAACATGGGGAGGGCGTGAGGTATCTTTCTAACGAGAGATGGGCCGGGATGGGAGTTTATTTATAACCAAAGCTTTTAGTTGTATGTAAATGGATTTAGATATATGGATGTAGAAAATGAATTTAAAGTAGAATGTAGTAGATGAAAATATTTCATGTAATATCTCAAAATAAATATTCCTGTCAGAAATTTGTTAGACGTTTGTTTTAATGACAGCATTGATTCCTTCAAGCTCATTCTATCGACCTTGCTCTTTCGTTTTTATTATTAATTTTTTTCATAAAAAAGGCATAAGCTCCCTGAAAACTGAGGAAAAAAAACAACAAACAAACATGGGCCTTATTTCGATTCAACAAGATAAAACTATTCTCATTCTTTCGGAAGGAAGGTACAATTTTTCGGTAAGCTGTTTCTGCCGTTTAGGTTGTGTAATTGTTAACAGCAACGAACGAGGAATCAGTAAGTCGAGATCGAATTACGGTCGAGGTCATTGTATTCATCTTCACACAAATACACTTCTTCCCAGCTTCCAATTTTGTGTTAAATATCAAGGCAGATTTGATAGCAGTCGGAGAAACTTCCTTTAGATAAGGAGCCTAGTTGTGTTTGGCAACTAGTCTAAAAGAAAGAAAACTTTGAATTCAAAACTCAGCCATCTGAAACTGTGCAAAGATAATTAAACATTGGATGTTAATAACCTGTCTGTAAGATAGAAAAGAGAGCGACAATCTAGAATGCTGATGACAATAACGGGTGTTGGGCACAAGTGGGGGGGGAGGCGTTTCATTTTGAAAACAACTGAAAAATAAGGAAATTTTTGAAATTATGAAATTAGTATATATGACTGTCTATATCTCTGAGATGAGGTATTATGATTACTTACATTATTCGGACTGGTATCCTCATCTTCATTGCTATATTCACAACGTTTCGGACGTTGTACGCTCCGGCATTCTTCAGGTGAAGAGAAATAACTGAGACTTCCGGAAGTGGTATGGCACATTCTACCCCGGTGGGCGAAATAAAGGTTTCAGTTCGAAATTCCAGTTACCTGCAGAAGGCCGGAGAGGATAACGACCGAAACTTTGTGAATATGGCGATGAAGATGAGGATAACAGTCCGAATAATATAAATAATGTAAGTATATATGACATTTAAAAATTTCAGAAATTTTAATCTTATATATATAGTTTTTACGTTATTTTTATAGATACAAATATTTAAGTAAAAGTTCTGTTTATAATAAATAGTATTAACAACATTTACCGGCCTAAATGTCCGAGAAATTTCATTGAAAATATGTGTCCTCCGACAGGAATCGAACATGCATCCTACACGGAACTGTTATATAGCCTGACGTGCTATACCATTTAGCTACAGAGGATCTTGCTAACCAGACTTCTTCAGTAGCTAAATAGTATAGTACTAAATGGTAGAGCTCTTAAAGTATCATATGTACATTATATATACGGGGTTTGATGTATAAATTTTAACAGATATATTTATCAAAATTACACAAAAATATCTTGAAATACTAAAGAGTACATTTATTCAGTAACATCTCCATTGGCTTCAACCACGGCCTCCAGATGACCTCAGGATCTCCTGCATCTCTTCTGGACGGTCTCCTTGTTTAAGTGGGCAATGCTGCCATAATCCTAGCCTACATTTCATCTTTGATGTTACAAGGAGTTTTGTTGGTTTCTCACTCAAGTACGCCCCACACATAATAAGCAAGGGTTCTATTTTCCCGTGTTTTAATAATAAACAAAATGACAAAATACAAGTGGAAATTGTGTTTGGGAAAGTCGTATCAGACTATCTCAAATATTAATGGTGATAGAGAGAATAGCTGTTTCCATGCAGGAAACATTCGGCATTCATTGATTGAATAGCTATAAACACTGTCGGTTGAAATTTATCAAATCTTTCTCTTAAAACAGTTACACAGGAAAATATGTTTCTCACATCCAGTCACTTATTGTTCTTTCAATTATTGATGGTGTCTTCGTTCCTAACTTTTTGGGAAGTAAAAAATCTTGATAATGTCATTATTTTCTCTATTAATTTAAGAATGTCTTTCTATTTTGTTTAAAATTAAATCCAATAGATCAGAACGCAGAAAGACATGTCAGTATCATGCAACGACAATATATGCCAGTCGGTGTTTTTTTTTCAGTTTTTTTTTTTTATCTACGTCTGCAACCGCCAAGTTTTTTTTATCAAAAAAAGAGACGAGAATAAATTCAAGACATAAAATATCTATCCAATTTAATAAAACTCGTTTGCAAGATAAATTGCTGCCCAACTAAACCACATTTTTATTTTGACTATTATTATTACAACACACACACACACACACACACACACACACACACACACACACACACACACACACACACACACACACACACATATATATATATATATATATATATTAATCAGAGAGCCGAGTGCCACTTCTCGTTTGGTTCGCTATATTCTCTTACGCTGAAATATGCTTGGGAAAGGTAGCAATCCATCTATCCTCCACTTTCTATGGGTTAATTAGTAAGCCTTTTATCACTAAACCATTATTATCCCTAATTTTTCCACTGTAATTTTCCTTACAATCTAAAAGTATTTTCTGAATCTAAGTATCCTGCGTAGCGTTAATAAGTCGTAGAAAGCGAATCAATCAATATACTGATGAAATGTCTTGTTGTTGAAAAAGGCTTACTACGACCATTTCCTGGAATCATTTTTTCAAAGGGCAAATATCAAAATAATGATTTAGGGAAGTGGGTCGGGTTGAGAAATTTTCAATATTCCCCTCATATATATATATATATATATATATATATATATATATATATATATATATATATGTGTGTGTGTGTGTGTGTGTGTGTGTGTGTGTGTGTGTGTGTGTGTGTGTGGTAGATAAAACAGATAAACACAATGATAGCCGGACGGATGCAAAGAATGATAAGTATAAAGACAGATAAGTATTCTCCCTATTATTGTTCCAGTTTATCAAGCAAAAGTAGACGATTGAGCTTGAACATTTACAAAAAAAAAAAGAAAAGAAAAAGAAAAAAAAAGAAAACATAAAAAAAGGAACAAGAGAAGAGTTCCAAAATAGAGGTAAAGATGGTGGGGTGCTTTATCTCTTTACATTTGCCACAATAGTCAGCATGGCTGAACACGGGGTTATGGGGCCCGAAGCATTGACTACATTAGAAAAAAGATTAATGACTCGGCAGGAGTAGCTGACAATAGGATAATAATTGAAACCATCTGCGTTTGAGGGCGGGAACTAGCAGGGATGGTTGCTGGAACATGAATATAACAGTGTTACGAGGGTTAGGGTAGCAGGTTTCTAATAATAATAAAAATAATAGAAGAAGTGAGGAGAAAGAGTGTAGAAGAAGAAGAAAAAGGAAGAGGAAGAGTCTAGAAGAAGAAAAAGAGGAGGAAGAGTAAAGAAGAAAAAAGTTGGAAGAAAGAGAGAAGGAATAACGTAGAAGAAGAAGTGAAGGAAAAGTGTAGAAGAACAACATAGAAGAAAAAGTAGAAAGGGAATAGTGTAGTTGAAGAAGAAGGGGACGAAGAAAAGGAAGACGAAAAAGAAAAAAAAGATGAATAAAGAAGAAGAAGATAAGTTAAATTTAATATATTGATAGATATTTTTTTCTATGGTTTATCAACCCTTTGCAGGTTATTTAAAGCAAGAAAATATTTTTACATTGTAAGATATTTTTTTAGATAACAAATGATTTTGTAATACAAGTTTTACTAATTAACCCATAGCTGGAGGAGAAGAGGTGGATTAATAACTTTCACGCTTAAGTGAATATAACGAACCCAACTGGAATTGGAACTCGGCTCTCCTGTTAAAAATTCCGAGGCATTATCCATTACAGCAGCCACAGCTCAAAGCTTACATCATTTGGTATTCCCAAGCGGACACCCATCTAGTTACCGAACAGGCTCGACATTGCTTAACTTCTGTGATCATACGGAAACCGGTTTTCAATGTGATATGTCAGTAAACTAGCATAGATTAAGACGATGGGTGACAGCAATTATTTTATAATAAAGAAAGAAAGCAATAATAAAGAGAACAATATTACAATATAAGGAACTATTGGATTGAAAGCCAACAAGAGACTTGAATTTTCCTTACTTAACATTTTATTCACTCCGATGTTTCGTCAGTTCCTCTTAGACAGTTAGTGGTGCGAATTCCATGCTCTTGTCCGATATGTAGATCTTACACTCTCCAACTGCGATGTGTGAGAGACTGCAATTTGTGAGAGACTGCGATGTGTGAGAGACTGCTCACGACTCCTTGGAGCGGTTGTTTATATAACCGCGTGTTTTGCAAAACCTTTTTCATACCTGTAAAACCGGATGCGGTGTGAGATAACGTGCTATTTCATTTGACGGCCGGAACTGACTATAGGTCATCCTCTTGGTGCACACGGCTTCTTTGATGGGCGCGGTGTTTCGCGTGCAACGTCTGTTCCGGCTTTATACTACAAAAGAGATGAATGTTAAAAATAGAAGGAAATGTAAAAAAAAAAAGAAGAAAATTAAACATAACCTGTCAGAAGTCAGAATACGCCATCCAACCATGAGACAGCTCTGGCTTCCGGGGTTGGATCGGAGTCCAGCTGGAATTTTTTCCACCTGTGCTGGTCAAACTCTCTATCTCCGGGCAGAGAGGATCCCCAGACGCGGCTATGTCGAAGGGTAGAGTCCCGTCACGGCAAACAGCTATCCGACCCCGTTTTATACGGGAATTTTTGGCCGAGCGTATGGGCTCGGATTCCTCCATATTAAAACTCGGCCTTGTGCCACATCTTACCTTGTGTGGAGGTTGCTAAATATATCCAAGCAAGGAGACAAAGTTTACATGTTTTGAACTGGCAATGTTTCTAGACTATGTTATTAAGTTCATCGGGTCGAATTCTACAAAAGGCAATAGGTGCAGCTAGAACCATGAAAAAACGCATTTGTAAACCGATTTATAATTCCACTGGAGCAGTAAATCAAATATATTTATATTTATATATATAGAGAAAATATATCCTGTTTTTTTTTTGTTTTTTTTGTATTTATTTATTTATGTGTCATTCGAGAAAGAATTTTCAAAGCACAAAACAATCCGGGAGCGACCGACACCGTATGCTGGGAGATGATTGGGTTACAAGTTTAATCTCGGTTAAAATTAAACTACGTCCCTCTTCATATCTACTCTGCTCAAATAAATAAGGTTCTTTTATCTCTTTCCTGGCAGTCTTAATTAAACCTCCCACTAATCAGATGTCATGACGTGAAAAGAATGTCTAGTATAATCTCTAAACAAGCCAAACGACGTTCTATCATTTAACAATAAGGAAACTGAAAAGAAAAATCTCGGATTTAGAGATTCAAATGGATCACTTTATCCAGTCTAAAAGACGAATCGGAAAGAAAAAAAAACTGTTAGTGGTCTTAGTTGAAAGAAATTCTAACGATGGAAATATATATCTAGATCTTACGAACAAAAAATGCTGAAAAGAACTAAGGAAGATGACAGCTGTGTCCACCATTTTGTTCCGGCAGCAAGGCCGCTGATCAGGAGATTAGGGGTTTTGAGGAGCGGGAAACCACTTCTTAATTGCTGTTGTTCCCAGATCCACCCTGTTAGGGTTCCAGCTATGGGCAAATAGTGAACCCACAAATACTATGATAGTATAAAAATAAATTTTATAGTAAAAATACCAGCAATATATTTTTATATAAAAAAAATTACCAACGGTACACATTTTTAGTAGAATTACCAACAATAAATTTTAAAATAGAATTATCAACAATACATTTTATAGCATAATGACCAATAATACATTTTATCTGTAGTTGAAGTCATATAACTATGTTCAAAATATTTAGATTACGGCATTAAATAACCCACAGAGTTTGATATGTCGCTAAACAAAATACAACCAATACAAATTACCATTTTTGTCAATGCAGGGAACAGTACCGACGAAGCTTACAAAGAGGTTAGAATGACTAGAAATTCATGGAAGAATCAAAATCATCCAGCTGGTAGCATTACTAAAACCAGCGACAAGACTGAAATAGGTTGGACTACTGAGAATTAATATCGCTTGATTTCCAGTGAAGGCTACAAAATACTCTTCGTGTGAAAACTCAACGATTCGTCACGAACTGCTTTCCCAAAGAAAGGTATAGGAGGGCGTTTCACGTTTGTTGCATAGCCGCTGATGGCTGACAATAAGTATAAATAATAATAATAATAATATCAATAACAAATTTAATCCAAAAACAACAATACTATCTGGAGAGAATGGAGGGGTGGAAAAGAGATAAATGAACAACAGGTTTGTAACTGAGTGTTGCCAGAGTCAATCCTATATTCAAGGCTCTCGAATCTCAACGAGTGAGTTTGTTTTTTTTTAGTTATTCTTATCTTATTTTAGTCAATGTTTTCTTGTCCCAAAACAAACTCGTTTTAAATAATCACTTTTTTATCAGAAATATTTATCTGCTTATATCTTCTGTGAAAAAAAGATTGGTTACTCGAAGCAGACTGATGATTAAACAGGAAATAGTTACAAATGTTATCTCTTCTCTGTAAAATCATCTCTCTCTATATCTATCTATCTATCTATATATATATATATATATATATATATATATATATATAACTTACACCCCCCAACGGTTGCTAACAGAAACCCATTCTCATTAACAAGGCGTCTACGAGAGGAAGACTGACATTGAAAAGAAATTTAAAACAATGCTCTGAGACAGACACTTAGTGGCTGATGATAGCGTACGGAACGGCTTGAAATAGACTATACTTGTTGAGGTAATTTTTGTTTTTGTTTTAATTTTTTGCTGTAAAAAATACATATGCTCTGTTATAATAAATATATCGAGCTCTCTCTGGATCAGTTTTAATAATTAATATTACTAGGATCCACCCGGATTATATACCAACGGATCGATTAATGTACTATACATACATACATACATATATATATATATATATATATATATATATATATACAAATGTAAAAGGAGGAAGAGTAAAATTTCAACGTTCAAAATATTAATTTAAAACAGGGTTGACTATAAAAGTAGAGCAATAAATATTTACTTATTATGACTGTTACATTGGAACATGTACATTCCCACTACAAATCTGTTCATTTTGTTTCAACATTAAATTAACGCTTCTTCAGTTGGGAAACCTTGATGGTTCTAAAATATTTTATTCAGAAATACAGTTAACGAAGCGCAACTCCAATTTGCGTTTTTTTTTTAAATTTCCATAAAAGGTAAAAAGGATTTATATATGGAGAAAGAAAAGAAAGCTAAGGGATTAATAAAAGAGAAAGAGGAAAGCGGAAGAAGAAGAAAAAGAACAAGAAAAGGAAATAACGTTAGAGACGAATATTCAACATTCTCCTATTTATTAGGAGAAGAAAGTTGAGGATATAAGCGATAAGAAGATGCTTATACGATATAAAGGAGGACGGTGAGAGAAATAAACAAGCAACACACACACACATATATATATATATATATATATATATATATATATATATATATATATACAATAAAAACGTGCAATCAATTTACAAATACATGAATTATTCACACAAAACTAATGCAAAAGGTTAATGATTTTAAATGGCGAGACATCCATCTCGCAAACAATTCAAATAGTACACAAACGGCAGAAATTTATATGAACAATTCATTCATAACGGATCTAAGGTTTTTGTGTACTATTTGAATTGTTTGCGAGATGGATGTCTCGCCATTTAAAATCATTAACCTTTTGCATTAGTTTTGTGTGAATAATTCATGTATATATATATATATATATATATATATATATATATATATATATATATATATATAAACCTAGAGAGCCAGACAAACTTACCAAGGTTTCACCAAAGCGGATCGTCAGGGAAGGTCTGCTCTACTGATTGTAGACTTTATTTAGTTACTCGCATCGGGTTTTTTTTTTTCGTGGGGCCTTGGACTCGCATGCTGGACGATTATTTTCCGCTAACGGACATGTTCTGGGTTCTTTCTTTATTTATACCTTTTTTTTCTCTTAGGTATTGGCTTGTTTATTTGCAAATCAAGACACCGAAGGTTTTCAGAGCAGTATAGTTTTTTATACTTATAAGATTTCTATTAATAATATATATATATATATATATATATATATATATATATATATATATATATATATATATATATATAACAACGGTGTAACAGCAAAATTGAAAAATTGTTAGATTAAGCTCTGAACCGTTGTATCTTAGAAATGATTAAAGATATCTTACCGGAATTCTCAAAGGTTTTTATAACACTATTGAATTATACTTTGAACAATAAGAACATATTTAAATGTAAGTTTAAATTAATATCCCTCTTCCTGCTCTGACCTCCTGATCCAGTTTTCATCTCTACTGTTTTCTCATTTTTAAACTTATTCATAGTTCTCTTGATGGTTTTTAATCGGTTTTGAAAATGGAAACCAGAGTATGAATGTTAGTAACATTACTGAAAGCCTGAATTTACTTTTCCTCTCACCATTGCTCATTTGGGAAGACATAGTGTGCTGAAACAAAACGCTTTTAACCTGTTTTCTTTCAAAGGGTTTTCAGTAATTTTACGGCAAATGATATCAAGATGGCTGAAACGTCTTATTTGAAAACCTGGGAAAAAGAAACTAAATTAGTTTAGTTTTTTCTTTAGATATTATGCATTTTGTTGGATGTACAATTATCCCGTGCTGTTACACGATTTAAACATTTTTTTCTGTTACATCCGGTATATATATATATATATATATATATATATATATATATATATATAAAGTAATTCATCGAGTCTAGATGAAGCCTCAACAGAATGCACTGAACGGCCGTTTCGTCCTATATTTAGGACTCATCAGCAGTGCGCATACACTATCGAGAATTGAAACCCGGACAGTTACATTGAC